TTATGATTGACTAATTTCTGGGCTATCATTCTGTTGAGATGCTTCAACATCATCTCTTCCTCTCTTCACCTTGCTCTTTCATTGCTGTTTTTCTCCTGTTTTCTCTTACAAGGAACATGAACCTTGCTTGCTGTGAGGAGAGGGGACAGTGGGGCCAAGCTGAGGAGCACTGATGGACAAGCTGAGGAGCACTGATGGGCTGTCACAGCCTGCAGGACAGGGGCAGGTGGGATGGGAACGAGCACGTTTCCTCCACAGAAACCAAAACTGGATCCCTGGCCTGGCCTGAAGGATAATTTTAGTGCTGAGGGTGAAACCCAACCCTCTCCTTCAGCGTGACATGGGCTGTGACAGAGCTGGCAGCTCAGCTGCTGCTGTTCCAGGAACGTCAAAGCTGTTTCTCAAGCGTGGGAAAAACCCCAGCAGGGAGCAGGGGGAGCCCAGCAGGTTTTTCTTTCTTTGCCTTTCTTCTCCTCTCCTTTTCCTCACCAGCTCCTTCGCCTGGCGTCAGACGAAGCCCGAGCTGAGCTCAATGAATGGGGATGGCTGGTGCTGGGCACATGAGGAACAGCTCCAGGCATGGGGTGGGCACATAGAGGTGCAGGGGGTGAGCCCACACGTCTAACACACACGTGGAATTTTGTTATCCAGGCTTCCCTGGGCTCCAGGGGTTGGGGTGGTGGGTTTGGCCCCAGAGCTACCCCAGTTTGGGAGACAAAAGTAACTGGGAAGCAGAATTGCTGTTCCTGCTTTGAAGAGTGGGAAGGGAAGGAGCCTAAGGTGGGTTCTCATAGATAGGATGGTGAGAATTGTTCTTCTCAACCCTGATGGGCTCAGCCTGCACTCAGAGGCAGCACCCCTCCTAAAAGACACATATATTTACATATATTCCTGTAGCTAAACAGGTAAGTCACCAGCCAACTCCCTCCTGCCTACAAAAAGTGCACCCCTGGCTTATTTGGCCTTATCTCCACCAAAATCTCATGCTGTACCCATGGGCATCATTCCAGTCCTGAGCACAGTTCCAGGCTCTGTGCTGCAACAGCCCTGTCAAAGCACAGGGACCTTTGTCTGGCCTATGTTAAACCAGGATGCACTCAGAGAAATGGTTGGAAACTCACCCTAGAAGCTTCCTAGCAGCACCTCATCATTCTCATCCTACATACCTTTCACTCTTTGCTGAGTCTACCCATTGGATCTTTCCTCCCTCTCTCCTAACGAAGCAGTGAATGATCAGAACCATTTAAAGAGCCTCCCAACCTTGCTTCATTTGTCCCTGGGCCTAATGCAGATGTGAAGATTAAATCTGTATGTGCCCAAGTCCTTGCCATCCGTGCAGCTTCCTGGAAGAGAAGCTGAGGGAGGGAAGTGCTGGGGTTTAACCCTCAGCCCTGAATGAGGGTTGGCATAGGGATGGTGTCCACAACCAGGCAAGAAAGACCCTCCTGATTGGTTTTCACCCAGGGCCTGGCCAGC